CTTTGTTAGTTTTAATTTCTTCCGTATATTAAAAAAATCATGAATTTTTTTTGAATATTCTAACGCATGTCGAAAAATCTAATGGTCATTGAAAAAAAAAAGATATTCTCACATATACTTTATATTCTTTAAATAAAATCTTCCATATTAATTATCACATATTTTTTGCTTCCATATTTGTTTAATATTTATATATTGTATATATGATATAAATTTAATCTAATTATTTACACAATAATTTCATTAAGAAGTTTTAATAGCTTTTATTAAAAGTTCTTTAAAATCCTCTGTGGATGACACCTAGGATTTTCACCTTATGTCTGCTCTATTAATATATAGAGGATATCACATAAAGTGAAATTTAGAAACTAACATTTCAATTACTTGAAATTTCAATTTTACCCTTAATGAATTTATGATAAGTAATCTCATATCTTATTTTTTATTATTATTTCATTTAATACATTCATTCTCTCATATCCAAAAATTGATTAAAGATATAATTTTTTTTTTTGCATTATTAGGAAAAAAAACAATAACCAACTTGATTTTCATTTTTATTAATTATATATTATATATACAATCAACTATCTATCCAAATATATTTATCTAGACTTTTCATTTCTATTAATTATATAGTTAACTATGTACCCAAATATATTTATCTTCATAGTTAATTTTTTTCACAAACAGTCAACTATACTTGTTATATTTATGAATAGTTCACAATTATCTAATCCCTCTCTTTGTGTATAAGTGAATATATAGTTAGAAATATAAGTAACTATTTTTATATATAATTACTTATATGTAGTTATGTGTAGCTAATTGTGACAAAAAAAATTATGTGTAGCTAACTATATACCCACATATAGTTATCTATATATATAGTTAAAAAAATTCACAAGCAATCAATTATACTAGTTATATTCACAAATAATTCACTATTATCCATGTATAGTTAGCTATATATAAACATATAGTTGTCTATATAGTTAACTTTATTCACAATTAATCAACTATACTTGTTATATTCACAAATACACATATAGTTCATTATTATATATATAGTTAAATATATTAACAAATCGTTTACTATTACGTATTTTCAGTGTAAGAAGCTTGTAATTCATTATATCAAATAAGTACTTAATCATATTAAAATAAAGTTCACTATTTTTGTATTTAAATATGTGTCAATAGTATCTAAATTGTGATATAATTCACTATATAATTTATATATTCAAAGTGTTAAACAATAATCAATTATAGGAAAAAAACGAACAAATATTTGTTTTTATATATGTCAACTTCAAGTTTATTTAAAAAAAAAATTATCTCTTTTTATATGACAAATTTGCATTAAATGTGCATTAAAATTGATAACTTTAATTGAATTTATTAAAATGGTAAATTAGTCAAATTTTTTATTTTTCTTTGCTACTTACTAAATTTACAAACTATACATGTTATTTTAATAATTTACATGCTCAAATATGGTATTTAACTAATTAACCCTATTTTTAATCAAAATTTTTCGGAATACGTCAATTTTTTTATAGTACGGGGATTCTAGGATGAAATTCAGATCGATTGGTGGGATATGTTTCAAATTATATATATTCATAACTAATATATATTGTTTTTAGAAAAATTGGGTTGTATAGCAAAGATTTTTAACCAAAGTAGCAAACAACCTATTATTTTACTAAAGAATCCCTCACTCTTTTGTCATTCTTCTTAATTAACTATTTATTATTTGTTATACAGCTAACTAGCCCTTGGCTCCACTCTTGCAAAAATGCCACACGCATCCCCCTTTTGCAAAAATGCCACAATTTTGTCCAACAAGAACAAGTTTACCCCTTAGTGAAAGGAACGTAATTCTAGATCTAAGATGTATTAAACACTTGAGAAAAATTTTCGGAACCCGAAACTTTCTTAATTTCTCTCGTCGATCTCGTTCTCGACGATAGGTTTTGTCAACAAATTCCTCAAGCTAACGATGGTGATGATGTCTATGATCTCCGCCGATGAATTGTTCTCTAATGGTCAGATCAAGCCATTAAAGCCTCATATCTTATCGCCGCTTCTAGATCTGGAAAGAGAGGAAGAAGACGACGGAGATTTCAATGACGGTGAGATTGTTGTTAACCGTCGTGGTAGAGATCTGAAACTGAGAAGCATATCTATTCATCGAAAAGCTAGATCTCTCTCTCCTCTTCGAAACGCAACGTTTCAATGCGAAGATGAAAACGACGACGTATCGGTGAGAGAGACAAAGCTAGACGACGGAAACATATCTCATAAAACGACACCGTCTTGTTCTTGTGCAGCTTCATCTTCACGGCGAGGTTTAAAACCATATGCACACGAGCTACACTACACGACAAACAGAGCTCCCACGAGTTTTATGATAAATTAATAACAAGATGTTGAGTTTGTCTTTGGTGCTGAAGATTCAAATAAATCGGTTCCATATACCAAAAAACCAACCAATTGTGAATGTGCAAAGACCATGTCTTTAATGGTTGTTTAAGCTGTTGGGTGATTGTGTTGTTTGCAAAATAAGGCCGGAAGTGATGGTGTTGCCATAATGTTTATAAGGTTTTTAAAAGATTTTGTTAAACTGTTTAAAATGTTT